AGGTCCATTGCATTATCATCCGGTTAAATCGAACCCGATCCAAGTCGAGGTCAAAGCCTGTTGTTAAAGCCAGGTCCGTTGCATTTTATCATTCGGTTAAATCGAACCTGATCCAAGTTGAGGTGGAAGCCTGTTGTTAAAGCCAGGTTCGTTGCATTTTATCATTCGGTTAAATCGAACCCGATCCAAGTCGAGGTCGAAGCCTGTTGTTAAAGCCAGGTCCATTGCATTATCATTCGGTTAAATCGAACCCGATCCAAGATTCTGGTCGAAGCCTGTGTCAAGTCAGGTCCATTGCACTTATCATGTTGATTAAATCAAACTCGATCCAATATTGAGGTTAAAGCCTGTATCAAGTACGAGGTTCTTTGCATGTCGGGATCTCATCTAGTGTCCAGTTTGGTCCATCTCTATCGTGTCTTGTCTGAATAAAATTTTTGCCTTCCCAAATACTTTGTCTTTTGCCTTTGTCTACCCTTTTAGTTCTGCAAGGGTACACAAAGGGGGCAAGCTGTAGACACCGTATTTGGTCCGGCTTATTTTTAATTTTAATTTTAATTTATATTATTGTATTTTATTTTATTGTGTTTTATTTTAATTAAAGAATAACATAGGTTTACTTTATTATTAGTTTTAATATAAAGTTTAAATTAACTAAAATTAAAATGTTAGATTTAGTTAAATGTTTAATTTTATTAATAAGAAAATAAAAAATGGTTTGTTTAGATTTTGTTTTATTATTAAAATAAAGAATAGATAAATAAAAATGATTTGTTTTAAAAAGATTTTGTTTTAATTAAATAAACATTTTATTTTATCAAAACCTTTGATTTTTAACGGTTTTTTTTCCTCTTTGATTTTTTCCACGTGGTATCTTCCCCCTTCCCTTCCCTTCCTATCCTCCTTGTCTTTTTCTCTCTTCTCTTGTCTCTTTTTCTTTTTTACGGTTATATTTAAAGAGGGAGGACTGCAGTGGAGAGGGAAAAGACAGAAAGATAGGCAGAGAGTTAGGAATTCACACCCTCACATTTTCTTCTTCTCTCCCTCTATAACACTCATAACCACCACTCCATCTCTTCTCCTTTCTTATTTCTTATCCCACCACCTTTTCTCCTTGATACCCACGATCGACGACACAAGCGAATGACAGGACCTCCAATCACGAACTCTAACGACCTCCAGTGACGCATGCACTCCGATGACCTCCCTCCCGATAATACGCTTTAAGTGAGTAAATAAATTGGAAAGAACCTTTATTTTTAATAAGAAACCAATTTTTTTTAAGATAAAAGAAATTTTAAATAAGTTTTGAAAAGAAAATAAAGATTTTGATATTTTAAAAATAAAAAGATTTTTCTTTCTCTAATTTTGTAGAGATTTTATTTTAAAATTTTGGTTAAAATAAGTTGAAAAAAAAGTAGTTTTTTTTATGAAATAAATCTTGTTTAAAAAAATAAATTTGAATCTTTTAATTCAAAATTTAAAAGTTAGTTTTTATTTAAAAGGAAACCTTCAATGAGGTTTGATTTTTTTTCTTGTCAGATTTATTTTATTTATTTATTATTTTGAAAAATAAGAGTCTTCTCCAGCAGTATTTTTTTTAATTTTGTTTTTTTTTTCTCTTCAAATTTTGTTTTTTAAAGAGTCTTTTAAATTTTTTTTAAGTGACTTNAGATCTTCAAGTTTTTTTTTTAAACTAATTTTTGAAAAAGAGTATTTAAAGAAAATCTTTTGAAAGGTTGTTTTCGAATATATTTTTTTCCCTTTTAAACGGTTATTCTTTGGAGGAGAATCTTAATAAAAAAATTAGTTTTTAGTAAATAAATTTTGTTTAAAGTAAATTTGACTTTATTTTTAAATAAAAGTTTTTTTTCTTTTAAATAATTTCGTTAATGTCGAAATAAATAAAAAAGTTATTTATTTTTTTGTTTTAATTTAACAAAATTTGTAGTTGTTTTTTAGGTTTAAAAAATAAATTAAAACTTTTGTTTGTGTAAAAGAATATAATGTTTACATCTTAAGATGTGGGTATAGTGGTATGATGTTTGATTTGTAAAATCGAAGTTCGAGTCTTTGAATGCCTCCTCATTTTATTATTGTTTTTACTAAATAATTATTTAAAATAAAAGATTTCATTTAGCGTTTTTTTTAAAACAAAATTCAAAAATAGAAAATATGTATTTTAAAAAGTAGTATAGTTTATATCTCAAAGTGGTGGCACATTGGTGTGATGTTTTAGTGTCAACACTCATATTGCAAGTTCAAGTCTTAATGTTTCTTAAAATTAAAATTAATTTTTGTTTATTATTATTTTTATTTTTGCTAAATAATTATTTCAAAAATTACCATGACGGAAATTGGACGTTCCAATATTGTTGAGGTGTTAAAATTTTTATAATAGCGTTCGTGCCACTCATACCTATTAATTCAAATCTTAACAAGGTGTGAATTAATATAATGAGACATTTCAATCAAAACACAAAAATATTTTTTTCCTTGGACCAAATAAAATAATAGGATAATTTATGATAAAATGTGGTACCGTTTTCGAACGAGTGTCGTAGGGTGCTAACACCTTCTATGTGACTCCCGAACCAAAAATCTGTTTTCACACACCAAATTTTTAAAATAGGGGACCAATCACACTTCGTAGATGATTGATGGCGACTCCAAACCCTTATCTCGAAAGAGACCCCTCAAGAGATGACGTCAACCGCTCCGCGTCGCGATGACGTTGCGACACATGTAAAGATGGATGAACTCGCTGAGTTCGTAGTTAGAAATATTAATCAATTTTTTAAGATTATTTTTTTTGGTTGAATACGGATCAATTTTTAAAGTTGACACCACACTAAACTTGTAATTTAAGGAAATATACACTATGGCAAGAAAAACGAACGCGCAAAAGATCGCGCCTCTTTGTGGCTTTCTTTCTCCGGGAAGTAACGGCTGCGACCGGCGTTTCAAATATCTCTTCTCCTTTGTTGTCTCCCTCAAAACACAGAACGGAACTTTCAGACTCCTGCAATCCGAACAATTCAGGTTCCATTTCTCACACATTCTGAATTTGTTTTACTCAGAAGCATTCACTTCAATGTTCTACACAACTTTTTTTTTTCTTTTAGTGGAATCGTTTGGTATCGTTGTTCGTTAAATTATCTCTATCTCTGTAGTTTCCGTGGTGTCCGATTGGTCTCTGTAAGACTAGAATTGACTTCCATGGATTTAGAAAATTCAAGTGATGGTGGTTTCAATTTCATTGTTTGAATTTGTAGGAGACGGTAGGTTTCAATCAATGGAGCATCTTCTGATTCTTGTTATACTGTTATTTGCATCGCCGAAGTGCGAATCATGGAGTTGGTTCTCGTCTTTTAAGCGTATTGAGGGCGGCAGTGTTGCTGAATTTTCCATGGAGGGTTTCGATGATCATAAGGGGATGAGGCTTGTTGAGAATGCTAAAAACAAATTGACTGCCTCAAATTCTTGCTGGGAAACTGCTTATAGGCATCTCTTTGCCGGCTGTTCTGAGATTTTTGCAGCGGACGAGAAACGGTCGAGATTCGCTTGGCATCTTAGCGATTGTTTTCAAAGGGATTCTGGCAGGCCTCCTTTTCCTTCTTGTGACCTGAGTTTTGCCATGGCCGAATGCCTCACATACTTGAATGAACACGAGCATAGGATATATCTTGAGTTCTACCTTGAAACTAACTCCATTTGTCATCAGCTACAGTTCGTATCATTTTTTATTTCTCATCTAATTTTGTTTATTCATCCTTTCTTATGAATTAACATTATATCCATTTAATTTTGGACTTGTTTTCAGGGCTCATGCTTTCAAGCGCGACACAGAGAGGCTGGTGAATGAATTGAAGAGATCTTCTGAAGCTGCAGAAGGCAAGTTAGAAATCATTGAGGAAAGATCGGAATCTCTGTTGCAAAATTCATATCAGATTTTTGATTCCTTGAATTCTACTGGTATTCAAATACAACAAATGGCTCAAACATCAAGAAAACTAGAAGATCACATGGGCGTTGTGCTAAATCACTCAGAAGAAGTTTATGAACAGTCCAAGAGGATAGAGACATCCCAGTCGGAACTTCAAGAGAGTCAGTTGAAACTGAGAAGAAGTTTGGAGGAAGGGATGGACTTGCTGCAGGATTCCTACAAGAACCTCGGCCGAGAGATGGATGGGTTAAGAGACGAAGCCATCGAGATTGAGAAGGAGATAGCCAAAGTGGGAGATGCAATGTTTTTGAAGATGACATACTTGCAGAGCACGGCTGATGATATTGGGAATATTGCGGGGCTATCATTGGACAAACAGAAAGAACTTCTAGATGCGCAATCCACAGCACTCAATGGTCTTCATTCTTTAAGCAAAGTTCAATCCGAAGCACTAGAGGAAAGCAGGTAAATGAAATTATGAATTTAGAACAATTTTAGAACCTGGGTAAATATTTCTCTAAATTGATTTGTGACTTGTA